GCGCAACAGCACTGTAAATCCATAGCTCAGCACGTCCTACATGCCCTTCAGGAGGCAGGATGGTGGACTTAATCCCCATCCTTCGGACGAAAATCAATTCCAACCAACCAAGAGATTAGAGCCTTAGCAAACAGCCACATTAACTATATTAACAAGAAAGCATTCCTAGACACCTACAGTAAGGTGCATGAGGGTGTTTTCTTGTCTAATAATATTAGATCTAGCTTTAGAGCAGCTAGTTTAGTTCTAGATAACCTAGGGGTGGTGCTATTAAAGCTTGGTGTGAAGCTTTGTACGCCAACTCCACCTCTGCCAACTACTACCTCCTGGCAACTAAGGACTCTAAGCAACACGCTTAAGATAGGTGCACAATTAACCTTACTATTGAACTAGATTTGAACGCACGGCAGCTTATCTCTAGCTTCAATAATTAAGATGGTGCGGCAGTTCTAGAAAGGAGCTGAAATGATGGTTCATTCTCAGACGCTTTTGGCTGCTTAGATTGCCAACTTAGAGGCGGCTAACAACGCTGCTTCTGCACGTAAAAGTCGCAAAAAAAAGCGTATCTAGGAAGGAGGGACCCTAGCCAAGATAAGGGCGCGGGGAGGACACCAAACTGCGGCAAAAGAGGCTTAGCGTTAGGGTTTGACCCCTTTTAAGCGATCTGCTTTAGTAGTCCCCTACATTACCCTAACACCACTAACCTACTATTACTTTGCGCCTAAATTAAAAAATTTCTTATACAAACTTAATTCCTATATACTTTGCGCAGTAATGCTGAGCGTTTTGTCTGTCTATTTAGCAAAACTTAGTGCTGTTATAGTAAGTAGGGTTAGGGTTTCTGTGTAACAGGCTAGGCCTGATAGTAGCGCCTTAGCGCTCGCTGGCCTCGGCCAACCTCCGAGAGGAGGTGCCTGCCTAGCTGTACCCCTAGTTAGGAGGTCCTAATCTTGACTAATTGTGTAACCTCTGCACGGAGGACATAAAAGTCTGCAGACCTCTACCTGCAGCTACTCCTTAACAAATCTATTTAATTCATACTTGCAAATAGCCTATAGAGGCTAGCTCCTTACATTCTGCGCGATAGAGCTTGTGTAGGATAGCCAAGCAAACAATTCAGGCAGCAGCAAAAACAACACTGCAAACTCCCACAGATAGCCCCAGCAGCTCACACTCAGCAATTCTAATAACGTTTTCTGCTTTCTTAAAGGCTTTAGCGTTATTATTTGCAAGCAGCACTGTATAGCAGTTGTGAGTCTTAATGCGCATCTCCGCAAATATTATGCTGCATCTGCTGCGCTACAGCGACAGATACTTGAGTGCTTTACTTAATTTAAGACTGTTGCTCTAAGCGCGATTAAGCTCCTAGAAGAGCCTACGCAGCCAATAGAAGAGCTAGGAAAGCCACTTAATGGTGCGCAGTGCGAGACATGTAGCTAGATCACAATTAACAAAGATAAGATGCGCAAGCACTGCAAGCGAAATTATAAGCAAGCGTGGGTAGGAGAGAAAAGCTTGCTCTATAGGACTGTGAAGGTGCAGAGCTTTTTCTGCACTAGAGGACTGCAGAAATACTTTGTTGTTAGATTTATAGATGCTAGAGATCCTAAAGACGCTGCGATAGAAACCCACGTCTAGGCACAGCTTGCTGAGTACAGATTAACACAACAAGAAATTAAGGAAGAGCTGCAAATATTAGAAGAAGCTGTAAAGACTAATAAGATAGGATAGTTTAAGCGCATAGGCTGGCTAGAGTTCTTTAAGGACTAGAATCTCGCTTATCTAGCGCATTAAGCCTGCCTGCCTGATCACAGCAAGCGCAAGATTAAGCTGGCTGCTTAGCTGACTGAAGGGCTGATTAAAAGAAGCGTAAAAGGACTAGCTACGCTCCTGCAAGAGTTGAGGCGCTGGCTGTAGAGCGCAAAGCGAGAGGAGCCAGACGTGCGACCGTTGGCGCGCTTGCAGAATCTGGAGAGTCAGGCAGTGTACACAAGCTACA